CAACAAACAGCCACCAGTCATACATAAAATCCCTTTTTCCAACATGCACCAATTAATCCTTTAATATCAAAACAGATTTCAGTGATTTCCATTTCTTTTATTTTGAGCATTGTATTATGATATATTGTTTTGTTTTTTTTTAATATTTTTTATTTATAATGATATATAGTTGATGACATAATTTTCCAATGCCTGTTTCTCTTACAATTTCTTGAAAACATTTCTCACTGCTCTCAGTTATATATCTGATAAATATTAACATGTGTTGCTGTCAATATTCAGAACATTTAGGCTACTGGCAACTTTACGTTGCATAAGACCTTCACATTTCACGTACCGCATTGGGTAACCGCTGTCCATACTTAATGAAGGGAAGATAAATTGAAAAAGATTGCCCATTGATGAGAGTGGTTTGAGACTTGAATTGGGAAATTTTGCTTATTTATTTAGATGGCTTGCTTGTATATTCAAAGAACTTTGACAAGCCCCTGGAACATTTGAAAACTGTGTCTAGTATATTTAGAGGAGCTGGACTGAAACTAAACCCAAGAAATTTAGTAAAATCTAAATATTTATAACATTTGTTTACTTATCCTGCATTACTCCTTCATGCATTTACAGCTGGGATTTTTTTACAGAAAGACGAAGCTTTGAGAGGTCCAGCTGCAGAAGAAGTTGTTCCAAACCAGTTGCGTAAATACCCTCACAAAGCTGTCATGTGACCGGAAGTGGTGACGTCACATAAGAGCACATTACTGCTTTGAACGTAACATCTGAAGGCTTAATGGGGAGGTAGCGTTGCGACAGAAGGACACTTAGATGAAGTAATGCAGGATAAGTATACAAAACCAGAGTGTTCCATGGGCCAGCTCAAGGGTCTGAGAGAATCAATGACATCAGGGGTTGGTGACCTGTTGAACCACCACCAAGGGACCTAAACTATGGACACCAGCAACATCCTCTGAGGCTACGTCTCATAGATAATGGCTGGCAAAGACGGTATCAGTGCGACAAGAACACCCTTCCATAACAGACTTGATGGAGCAGTTGTTATGGAGAGCCATGGTCGACGGGACCGCCCTGATCTTGTGAGGGTTGTTGGCCTTGGTTGGAGGGGCAGGCCGGACACTTTGTATACCGAGAGAATGACTGTCCGAAGTCATGAGGAGATAGTATTACGGTTAACCTCTGCCTGCGAAGTAAGAGAAACCGATATAAAAAGACGTTTCTTGTTGGACTTGTGTTGTGATTTCAGCCAGAGCCAAAAGAAAAATCGTCTTCTTGGTGAGGTCATAACATTATGATGAATGCAATGGCTCGAAGGGAGCTGCCCATAACAACTGTAAAACCACATTCAGATCCCAGGCCGGGGATCCGAACTTGGCTGTTTGATCTTCCAGTCAAAATGAGCACAGCAAAGCTTGTAATTCCAGTCCATGTATTTCCTTCATTCTGAGATCTTACGGAATGGCTAGCACTGAATTAATGGCAACCAGGTACGTTAAAATGGTAGAGCCTTTGAGGTGACATTTGCTGCGTAGGAAGAGTAACAATTCAGCCAAGAATTGGGGGAAGCAGAGGTGGGATCCTGACGTCTGTCCTTAGAATAGGATTCAAAGAAACGCCACTTGTCATCATAAAGAAAGGTCTGTGTGCCAAAGCTATGGCCTCGTCCGCCCTCAATAAGTAGCCCTTGGCACTTTAGTCTCACTGCAAATATACCAAGCGTGCAAACAAAACATGTTGGGGGCCGGATGCAGTAACCTTCTGTCTGGGTGGAGCAATATGTTTGGCCAAACCGGAAGTTTGAGAGGAGATTTCTGGGCTCCACAAACCAGCAGCTCGCCAGCCACCAAGGCACAACCAGTGCTTGCGAATCCAGAACAGAGGAGATGTAGGTCCGCAGCAGAAATTTCTGACTTGTGGCGAACAGGTAGATGTTGGGGTGGGATGTAACATCCATTCTGTGGGAGCCACCTTGTCCGGTCTGGGCAGCGCATCCGCTAGCACGTTCTGCACCCTGGAACATGTTGAACTAGGAAAAACTGCGACAGAGAGAGGAGGAGTGGAGAGTCTCCTGATTTCAAGGACACCACACCAGGGGGATCTTGTCTGTGGATAGTTTCGGGCGTTTCGAAGGATGGCCCACCAATACGTGACGGCCAGAATGAGTGCTTCCAATTCCAGATTGTTGCTGTGCCAGTAACACTGTTCTCCTGTCCACAGCCCTGAGGTCGTTCAATCCTCCAGATGAGCTTTCACTCCTTGTTTGGAGGCGTTTACGAACAGATGTAGAGTTGGTTTTAGCATGGTCAAGGAGACGCCGCCAAGGACATTCTACTCCACCATCCATTAATGAAGGTATGGTTGCAGGTGAACAGGGAGGTCGATTGAGATCGACAGGATCTGGCACCTGATGAAGGGGTCGAGGAACCATGGATTAGTCATAGCTGGAGACGTTACGTGGAAGTCAGGTCCTGGGCCCCGTTCCACAAAGCGATCTTAGCACTAAGGTGATCGTAAGTCCAATACTTTAACATAGGTTTACGATCATCGTAGCACTAAGATCGCTTTGAGGAACAGGGCCCTGTGCCAAAGTGAGCAACCAACTCACTAAGCACACCGTTTCATAGCATGTAGTGTGCTATTGTGCAAAGCAAACCATTTCATATCATGTAGATGCTGCAGTCTGCTCACACTAGTGGTGGAAACATAAGTTTCAACTTTTATGAGAGAAAACAACTCAACTCACTTGTCATGTGATTGTACAGAACTAAAATTATGAAAAAAACATATAATAAGTAAGATTTACATATACTACTCACTACAAGTTTAACACCCACAATTGGAAGGCTACGCGTTTCAATACCTACTCAGCCATGACCGATTAACTCTAGTCCTATGAAAATAACTGGTGTTTTTTTCAGTTGTGTTGAGTAGTATATAAAAATATTACTTATTGCTGCATGATAATTATATGGATAATTACACACTGTACATAAAAGACTGATTTAATGTTAACTTCCCATCTTTGTGGTGTTTCTTAACGTAAGGGTGCAGGCAATTAGGTGAAAGATCACATCAGCTTTGCCCTGTTCAAGGACTTTTTCAATTCATGGTGTTGCTTATTACAGATTGGATTTTCAACTCATCTCCACTAAAACACTATGTTATCCTTAAATTGGGCACCTTTCAAAAGTAATAAAGTTTGCACTACCCCAGTCTGTAGTGCAATAAAGTATAGTTTTGCAATGAACTAATATAAAGTCCAAAGCAAAACTATACTTTATTACATTACACATGGCAGCAGAGTTTAAAATCAAACTTTTAGTAATACTATATATCTGGAATCATTCAGTTACACTAGAAAGACATGTATGATCAAGTCAAAGGGGGTGGTTGGTTCAAATCCAAAGAATGTAAAACAGGTATTATATGTCATTTAAAAAAACCATACTTTCTGCATATGATGTTTCATAATGATATTTGCAGAGATGGCTGAGTTACGGGTCATGGTGGCTATGTTTCAAGTCGATTTGGAATTCTGTGAGCACTTTAGCAGGGGTAGAAACTAACATTTTTGTTCCACTAGTCCTTATAATGATAACATATAGCGACACCCTTAAAAATGGTAAATTTCTACTAGTCCTTATGATACCTTAACTATTGGCCAGTTTGTCAAGGACTACAGGACTAGTGGCAATTTCTAACGCTGACTTTAGAGACACCCCAGCTGGGATTATTCATGCAAACTTGTGTCGCAAAGACAACAGTTAATGACGGATGGATAACCAGATGGATGGACGAATCACTACAACCTAAGCTCATTTGGCATTTGATTAGATTTAAACTAGAAAGGTCTGTGCATTAAATGCCAAAAAACAGCAAATTCATCTCCACCCTTTTCCTAAATGTCTCAAAACTGTCCCATCAGAAACATCTTTCATGAACCATTTCAGCTTGACCTCATCAGCTTTCAGTTGAGCTCACATACCCAATACCCCTTGAATCTGAAAGTCCCAAGTCCCTTTATCTCAGACATGAACTGCCTAGATATCATACGTATAAAGTTCCATCAAATTTGGATTGGAAATGCTCAACATAACATGTACAGAAGATTTTGTTCTTATATACATCACACTGAATGACCTTCAATGTCTTCCAATCACATGCAAGAACATAACTTCTTGTAGGTGGTGAGGTGAAATGGGGTTTAACATCGCGTTCATATTATTGCACTTATATATAGCGACATGCATGTGTGTGTGGCTACTATTTACAAGTCTTTACATGAGTTAATGACCTTCAAAGCAGCTTGACTTTTCACACAACCACATTTTATGACAGGTATTGGGTTAAATGATTAGACGTGATTGGACAATACAATAATATGACAGTTCATACAATTTGAACAATGTTTAATAATTGACCCTGACCTCATATGGAGGTCACCCAAAAGTTGATGTAATCAAGATCACACGTAGAGATGGCTACTAAGCCATGTCAAATTTCAATCATAAATACTCAAGTTATCTTCTTCACAAGATATTTTGATGCTAGTTCATACCGAGTGACATAGACCTCAAACATCATTTCAATCATATGTCAGAAATACTGATATTACTCCACATGGCTACGTAGGAGGTAAATATCACCAGGGATTTAACTAGCACCAGGTCCCATAAATTTGAAACATGGAGGCATAAACAAGTCTAAATAAGTACAATATCACATCTCTGATGATCGTTTCATGTGTCATGAATTACAAATAACACAGGAATTAGTGCATTGGTGCATGTTGTAAATGGCACCCTGATCACGTATAAAGTCTCTCATAAGTGCATGGTTGAGAAAACCAATTGCAGCAGTGGTGGGGGAGCTTTAATTGAAGCAAACACATGAAGCAGCTACCCTTGAAGCAGCTACCCTTACAAATGTCTGATTAATTACCAGGAGTATGTTACTGCCCACTACTTGCAATGTTATTACTACCAACTGACCTGGAGACTCTCCGTCAATCTCACTGTTGACCATATCAGTCACAAAGTCACTAAGTGAGGAATAGGATGAGCTGGTGCTCTCTGCCCCTTCGCTGTCACTGCCACTCTCATCTGTAACAAATATCCATAATTCATAAATGATGCATTGTCCTTGTGGTACCATCAAGACAACAGCCTCCATCAGATAATTGCTCCTGGGAAAAATCCCACAAAAATGTGTGTTATATAATGCATTATCTCATTGATTTTGTCAAACTAAACACATCTATTTAGAATCATAAAACTGTGTTACAACTGCCATTTCCTTATCAAGATTTCAAGCACTTTATACATCTTTTGGTTCTGTATTTTCAGAAGAAGTAAAATAATAATGCTACCATTAAGAATTTGTTCACTGTTCACAAACTCCTATACCTTCTTGACCTAGTTGTCATGTGAACATAATTCATCATAGATTACGATTAACATCAAGCATTTTCAAAAGGAAATGATGTTCTCTTAGTGCCACTGACCTAAAGAACTACCAGAGCCTCAAATCAGATTCCAGTACCTTGCCCCTTAGCTAACATAAAGCAAAATCTGAAGGCATTTCCACTGCAGCCATACCACTTTAAGGCATCTTTTTTTTCTTATTGTTAGAGTGGTTGCTGTAGTAACCGGACACTTATGACATACAACAGTTTTATAAATAGCCCATATATACTACACACATAACTTGAACGGTGTTCTTAGGCCTTACCGCCTCAGTAAATACTCTTGAGTGCATGCCTTCCCACGAGATCCCTAATGCCCAGTAATAGGTGGTGTTCGGGAGCAGGGAATATGAGGGGAATTTTTGTCATCACATTCTGGCAATAATTCCACAAATTCAGAGTCTGCCACAGTTCCATCAGGAAATGCACAAAGGTGTCAACGTTCTTTGATCTTATCAAGCTGAACCATATTTGGATTGGTCATTGCTGAAATCTTCCTCTGAAGGTTAGATCTTACATAGATGTTAATGTCCCTAGACATGGCAACCACAAACTAATTGACCTGTTGGGATGATCTGTGACTTGTATGATCATATCCTGTGTCTTCCTGTACATATCCTTTGAAAAATGTTAGATGATCTGGCTTCTATGTACACGAGATCTTGCACCGGACTTGTCAGAGTGTACCAGGAACATCAGATGTGATAGCAGTTGTATTTGAAGATATATTCTGCTTGAGTTGCTTCATCTGATCTGCTCACAGTCGTCTTCGTAGCCATATGTATATATGAAGCCTGATGAGATGTATGTGTGCACACCTGATAATAGGTGCCATGATGCGAGTAAATACCCATGGTGCTATTGATCTGCGGACTGGGAGTACGAGAAATTTGTAACAGTGTTCGTTTACAGCAAATCAAGTGGAATTTTGGTGTACTAGCCAGAAACTCCTTCTTGAGCCCAGTTGCTGACCATTCGCATCTCTGACATGCTTTTCTTTGGTACAAGGAACACTGGGGAGTAACCTTTGGTGTGTTATGTGCTGTCCAAATTCCAATCGTTTAGCCTGGTGATTAACGTCTGTATGGCCAAGTTCCAGATGACAACTTGGTCCCCATCAGAGGAAAACACTTTTCTGTAGGCCAGGACACAAACTCTGGACACAGATGGAAGTCTTGCTTGTATCAAACTTTTACAACCTCAAGAATCCAGTCGTAATATGCTTCCAATTCTTGGTATATGCCATAAGACATCCTCCCACTGGTCCCTGAGTTGGTGTAATGCTTGAGAATCAAATCCATAAGCAAGGCTAGATTGATAGGGTTTGCATGAAGATGTGTCATTCAGAGAGTCAGGCACAGCAATCTAACCTTTCCTCAAGGCCCGGTTGTGTAGCCAGCTTTTTGTTTCTGCAGAAACTGCCTGGAGCTGTCCCCTCGATCGTCACTCTTGGTTCCAGAAGACCTGTCTCACCAACTTGGGGTGTCAAATGATTCCTTCCCTGAAGATCTCTAGTCGGTTCCCTTGGTCTTTTTTTGTGTGCACAAGCAGAAAAGTTGTTCATCGAATGCTGAAATCTCTCAATCGTGTCTCTTCTGTCTGTTCACCCAAATTGCCTAATTCTTGCCGACGGTAACAGCATCCTACTGCAGGAAAACTTCACTAGTCTATGGTGGTCCTCATCAATTGAACTGATGTCAGGGAATGGATGATAATGGTTTGACATGCCTGGTTCTTCTGTGGTAATGGCAACCTGTCAACGTCTTTTCATTTATAAAGGCTCTCATCTGCATGCTTGATGAATCATTTCGTGAAGCTCGGCCATAAAAGGGTATGACATTTGAGGTGGATGATGAAGCTGATGGTCCGTAAAACCCAGATATTCTAGGACATAGACTCCTTTTCTACCTTGGGTTTTAAATCTGGCATGAGGTGATACAGCTGTCCAATCAAGTGTGTGAGGGAAAGGCCCAGTTTGAAGCTGTCTAATGGCAGAGGCTCCTGTCAATACGTCCATCCATGTCGATGTCTGTCATCGTCCCCAGAAGCAACTGCTGTCCAAGGCCCTGAGTGAGTGAGTTGGGTTTAACGCCGCTTTTAACATTATTCCAGTTATATCACGGCGTGTCAGCTTAATGTGGGAGGAAAGCCCGAAGTGATGCAGGTCTCAGACGTTTACCACTTCGGTGAAACCCACGAGCACGGGTATGGTGCTGACAAACCTAGAAACATAATTGGGGCGAACCGGGACTCGAACCCACAATCATAGGTTTCTCGCAAATCTGCACAGCGAATCGCGGCGCCTTAGACGACTGGGCCACCCGTGCCCCCCCAAGGCCCTGAGGAGACCGCCAGTCTTCATGACAACTATGATCCAATGGAGCCCCCTGGTTACTGCAAATAGCAGTATCTGAGCATGTCTAGATAAATCACTGTGGAGGTTGGATGAAGGGAGCAGTTTTAATAAAGTTATACAATTCTAAATACATGTGTTCAATTCAAACAAACGTTAATGAGACACTGGCCATGTGTCATGGTTTCCAGGGCCAACTGTCTAATGGACAGTTTTCCCATGGCTAATTGCCCTTGAATCACCATTCACACATGCTCACCTGTAGGAATTTCATCACTGTGAATCTCATTGGCTGAGGAGATGGCAGCACCCAATGAAGAATTCTCATCATATACTCTGAAGTCTATGGGCTGTAGCTGATGTGCGTACCACTTTGGTTTGTCTCCAATCAGTGACGGGTCATATACCGCTGTCTGTACACGTAGATAAACCACATTCTGTGGACTCAAAGACCACTCAGCAAAATATTCGACAGCCTGAAACAAATAACATAAACACATGAGCTATGTTAAAATGACTGTAGTGTTACCCCCGGCCTCCTGTATGCCCATTGTCCATTGCTTATTACTCATCTATGATAGCTTAAGTACTGCTTGGCTTCCATACTATCAGCGCTAATAACTGTAAAGTGATTGCTTCCATTGTCTATGGCTAATCACCTATCAGCGCCAATCATCTGTTGGCTTCCCTTGCTAGTTTTCTACCCTTTGTCATTTTCCACCTTTTGGTATCTTATTAATTTTGCTGTCCTTACATGTACATATATATATGCTCTCGTGCCTTAAGACATTCATTCACCTGATGAAAGAGTAAGCATATACTCCGAAACATTGTGTTCCTCATAATAAAGAAGTTGACATCCATAAATTCTCTTCCTGACAAAAAGACTGACAACTGCTTTTAAAAAGTTCCATCAAATATTTCAAATCAAGATATACTTGCTCGTTCCCAGTGTCTCCAAATTGTGAGTATTGTACCTGTGTGCGAGCAAGCCTGGCTGTGAAGTGAGTCTTGATGGGCCTTGACTTGAGGAAGCTGTACAGCTGGAAGGCCACCACAGGACGTGGATAGAGGCGCAGAGTACGGGTGTGTTCACAGAAGTTACCCATGATGTTGGCAGAGTTGAAGAATCGGATCTTTGAGGTACAAAGAGTCAAAAGGTATCATGGATCTTTTACAAACAATTGAGGATTGTTGTATGTTGTTTAGAGTTATTTGTTCTACTGTGACATTTAGCATCAAATTCTCTCTATGATGAATAAAGTATTAAGACATAGCATGAATAAAGCTTCTCACAGGAAAATACAACCTATACATGTCATGCCACATATGATGTATTTCTCTGATCTGTATATAAAATGTATATTATAATGTTATGTCCTATAGGCATGTGGTCTCTGGTGCAATAAAACAATTATTTGCTACCAGTACTTAATCATTAACAGTCAACAAGGAATAAAATCAATAAATACTTTAAACATAATTTTTGTCGTATTCATATTTGAATGCAAATTAAAGATTTGAAGGAGAGCAGCCATCACAGGTTTCCTTTTTCGGTAAGATTGTTTAGCAATAATCTTGGCAGCTACAAGTGCTGGCTGTATCTTGGATCATCTCAGTTTGTGTCATCGTTATGCTGGACTTATCACACACCTTAGCACTGATAAGCCTAGTTTTCTTGAAGTGTGATCCATGTATTTCTATCTAGGATTCAAAGTGACTTGCCCATGGCAGATAAATTTGGAAAAAATCATGGTTTTGTTCAAAACTGTTTGTCATAACTCATAATTTTCTAAAGTTGAGATGTAGTTTAACATTGCATGCAACTGAATCATGAAAACTGAGCAATAACTAAGCCTCTTCCTCTTTATTGGCACATCTCCAAAGCCAAACAAATTCATGTGGGAAACAAATTCATGTGCACTGAAACTTGCTGCAGGTTAGGAGCTGAGCAGGTCTAGACACATCCCTGGTGACATGGTGGGAACACGCCCTATCACAAGTCCTGTTCCACACACCACAATAAAACATAGTTGGGGGTAATATCAAAGTTATGATTCATTATTAATAAAAAACAAACTGTTATTACAAATGCACAATTTAAAAGGGAGGGGAAACAATTTGTTAAGTTTTGTTTTTATAAACAATTCTTTAATATTTATTCATTTAAAAGACAGCGTCGGACAGAGATTGTTAGGCGTCTTATGACGTAATCAGGAGTCACCCTCCATTCCTCGCTCAGTGCCTGTACCATCTGATTTCTGTTCATTGGAGGATTGGGACAACATCAGGCATAACACAAACTTTTTCATGGACAGAAACTGTTGTACAACACGAGCTGTGTGAGGTCTTGCACTGTCCTGTATAAACAAGGTCATGGGATTGTACTGCGAGACAGTAACACGACGGGAAGTAAGGTCTGAGTAACACTTGGCATTAACATTTCAATTAATGACCATTTCTGTCCTCTTTCAGCAACATATCCCTTGCCAAATCAACACATTGCCACCGCCAAATGGTACAGTCTTCTGAATACAACAAAGAGCCGTTCTTTTTCCAACACATCGATAGATCAATGTCACCCCATGACACACATTGTCAATTAAGATATTGCCAAAACTGAACTTGGCGTGCCCTATGAAAACGCTAAATCCGATGTTGCCTTGTCAACGTCATTCCTCTGAACAGTTGATAGGTCCTGATACCATGCCCTCAAAGTGTGTGACATGGTCTGATGACTGATGACACCTGCAAGCCCACTCAGTGCAGATTATGTTACAGTGAGGAATCTGTTACATAGGTGCAACGTACAGAGATAGGGGTCCTCAATGGCGGTTGTGATGCAGGGTCTTCCCCTTCATGACCTGTCTGCAGTTCTGCCAGTTGTCCTGTAACTAGGCATCAACGTGGTGATTGTCATTTTTGTAAAGTGCATGATTCTCACAACGTATGCGTACTGGTAACTTGCCCCTGACTGCACCATACCAATTACTCTCTCGCACTGTTTAGCAGTTAGTCTTGCCATGTTCTGTGGTATTTCACGGTTGATTGATAACGTTTGTTTACCACGCCACCGTTTTTATACACTTTTGTGCATGTGCAGTGAACCTTTTCTTCAAAGTGTCATTATAGACGTGCAGCATCTCCAAAATGCAGCTACTTGCTACGATTTTTCATTTGTTATGTTCTGTCAAACAATACTATCACCTATCTGACCTCACATGAACATAAACTATTAATATTTTTTTTAAAAATAAATTGTTATACTTTCATACAATTGTCAGTTTATAATAAATTATTCATATTATTGATTGATCAAGCCTTTCCTGACATGAGTGGCTAAAGTAATGAACTTCTCACTTTCAATTTTAACAATGGGCATGACTTCCTCATTGACTGATACGATTCATATCGGACACATAAATCTCCCAGATTTCTACTTACTGTTTATAGTGTGACAGTTTAGATATAACCGAAAACAAAATATTTACAAACCTTCAGATCTTTTTAATGAACAACTTGTGCTAAAATTAAGTTTTGCCAGCTGTGACACAATAGTGATTAGTGATTTGTTGTAATTTCTGCCGCCTGCATATATATGCAGCTTTATGTTCATCTAGCTGGTCTCTGTACACCTACCATGGCTACTCTGGTAGCAACATCTACTGAGTCCACATCATTGCCGTAGATGAGCGGGTTGAATCCAGTCTGTGAAGAGAAACTTTCACGTCGTTGCCATGCCTCTGGATTTTGAGCAAGAGCATCAAGGTTTTTGATTGGCTGAGGAGTCATGCTCATGCTCGCAAGTGCCTGCAACCAATCCCCAAGTTAGTGTGTTAGTCATGCAGATGCAGCCAACAGCAGACCTCTTCACAAGTAGTCCATATTAAGGTTTTCATTTCAAAATATCTTTATTCTTATATTACAATGTTACAGAACAATCCTGCAGGGCTTGCTCCTTTTGGAAGTTACTGGCCCTTCTCCAAACTAACTGGCCTACAACTAAATGGTGAAGTAGCCAAATCAGAGCCTGCGAAGCCACCTATTTCAGAACCCCTCACCCCTAAAACGCTGTTTCATGCACTCCGAGATTAAATTTTGGCTTCCACTTGCCTCATTTCATGGCGATTAATGAGCAAATAAAGAAGTTGTTGTACACAACATTACAAAATGGCGGCCAGTTGTCATTCTGTGGAGATGAAAAATTACAAACATTAAATATTCACGGAGAAAGGGTGAAATTTTGACAGGCCTGATGGGCAATCAACTTTACTTTTCAGCAAGCCCTTTGTAATTTTAACTGGCCACAGGCCAATGGGCCAGCAGTTAAATTGACCCCTGCAATATGAAGAGGTGTGCATTTTGACAAGGGGCCTTGCTGTTAGTAAACAAAATATATCACATGTTAATGATACACACATTGTGAAAATTTAGATTACATAGGCTACCCTGAACCAAGCAGTATTGATAGAAGAAGTCAAATGCACAACACACAGCATCAGTTTTCGCATGATTAATCTATTATCATATTTCAATGATTAGACAAAGTTAAATAAATATGAAGTTGAAAACATCACACTAGTCTGACAAGCCCAAGTTGTTTGACTATCATAACGGTATATATTCTCAGGCAAAGACTACTAGTATTGACAATATAATAGAGAACCAGCAGGCTAGGAGGCTCACCTGAATGCTTCCAGAATATAATAAAGGTCATAAAAAATATAAAACAAGAATATATGTAATCTTATCAGTAAATAAAAATAACAGAAATGTTGTTGCTACAAAACAGCATGCATAATTAAAAAAAATACAGATTTATGACTTGATGAAAATTACCATAGTTAAATTTAGTTTGGATATGTCAGAGGTAAGTCCTACTTTTACAGATTCCACTGTATATACAATTCTGACCCTGTTATATGGCTATGAACCAGGCTTCCTTCATTCCATGATACATACTCTCCAAATATAGTAGGCTACATGGTGAAAATAAGAGATAACAGAAATACAAAGAGGTATAGAGAAATAGTAATGGATGGATAAGAAAAAGGAAAGGCTAGGTGTAACATGACAATCAACAGAACATGTAGGTGGTGTATTGTAAGGGTGTATTGTAATATTTGTTTGTTTGTTGTTTAATGCAGCACTAAGCAATATTCCAGCTATATGACAATGGTCTTTAATAACAGAATCTGGACAAGACAATCCAGTGTTTGACATGAGCATCAATCTACGAAATTGGGATATGATGACATGCATCAACGAAGTCAACGAGGCTGACCATCCATTCCCTTCAGTAGCCTCTTCCGACAAGCACAGTTGCCTCTTAAGACAAGACCACAGGGGTATGTACTGAAAAAATTAACGTTTGAGATGATTTGATCAATAATGGGTCATGCCCCACAGATTTGTCAAATATTTGCTTTTTGGCGTGGCAAGGTCTGAATAATTCGAGGGAGTCTTGTCCACTGCTCTTCCAGCGCCTAGCCCAGTTTAGCTAACATAGCAGGTTGTCTTTGACATTGGCATACAAATCTCAGACGTGCTCTGTAGAGGAAAGATCCGGACTGGCTATGGCATTTTCGTGATGTTTTGCTGTTGGAGGTTAATCAGTTACGACACGCCCACAGCTATCCAGAAAGTCAAGAGTTGATTAGATTTCTAAGACTAGTTTTAGGTTAAAAAAAAATATTCTTGGTTCTCAGGCAACGCTGCATCATCATAAAGTCCACCCCACATTTCGTTTTTATTTCCATTTTAAAAAATAAATAATTAAAAATCCTTAATCCACATCTCGAACACATGACCTCACCTGTGAAATGCTACAATACTTAAAAACAATGTGATCCAATATAACGTGCAGTTACTTCGCTTTTCATGCGCACTGCTTTACTGCACATCTCGTGTTATGGTCATGGTGGCAATAGGAGTTTGTGTGCTTGCATTGCTGTTTGCAAATTTGCAAATACTAGACATGATGATGGGTATTCAAATACAAATTCAATGGTATTTGTGTACTGTATGAGGGACAGAGGTTATTTGTCTCGTAAAATAAGCGGGAAATCGATGCTAATTTATATACCCCAGCTATAAAGCGAATCGGAATGAAGCACATCACAAGTGCATACAAATTCCCAACATTTGCAATAAAAATGTGCTTCTCTTCCGCAGAAAAACAAAAATTACATCGCAGCCCTTCAGCGTATTCAGGGAAATGGAACATATTATAACAATTAAACTTGGCCAATACAAACTTGAAATTTGAGATAAAACATCTCTAAACATAATGATTAGCCGATTAAATTGTATTTTGTTCTGATTGGCATTGTTTTATATGCAGGGATTAAGATTACCGTGCGTCTTGTCTCGTAAACTAAGCCGGAAGTAGCATCCAGCTGTACACACTTTTCTCGGAATCTACCGATGATTCGGCCAATAATATAACTTTAAAGAATTTTGATACAATGAGCGGAAGAATTGTATCTGAAACTATTATTTTATCAGGAATAATTTATTCCAATATCATATTAGTTGCAGCTTTACTATATACGTATATGGGAAATAAATTAATTGTCATAAGCGTAGCACTTTGGTTCAGCTGGTCAGCATTGCCAGAAATGTTTTTGATTGAAAGAATTTGACCAATCACCGTTGAATTGAATAAAATTAATAAAATAGATTACCAACATAAGTCCAGATATATTATGAACTCTTTTTACAACCAGACAGTGTAATAACATGATTAATTTGAGTATTTCAGTACGGATTTGTTGACATGGTATTTCCGGTGTTCCATGCCAACAGTAATGTCTTTGTGTTGCCGAAAAAAACATAAAATACTCTGAGTATAAGACGACGACCCACACAACTTGAAAGCCTCCTATTTCTAGCTATGAAAAACTCACCTTAAACACAGCGATATACGGATTTGGATTCTTATTAGTGTGTACAAAACCCAAAAAAAGAAAGAAAAAAAGGGCCGGCGGGGCGGCCAACCCGTCCGCCCGTCCGCCCAATATTTTCAATACGCTTTTGCCTGAGAACCAATTTTTTTTTTTTTCCTCAACCTTATGGGATCATTAATACAAAGCTCCATAGGCATATTTTCAGAGATGTCGACTTTCAGTCAGGTGAGCTAAAAATGCAATAAATCCAGATACACAAGGGAAAAAAAAAGACAGATTAACGGACAGACAATCCATCACACCATGAGGTCACTTGAATTCTTGGTTCTGATGAGCAAAAAACACCCCAAAATTTCTGTTCAGGCTTGCAGAATTTTCAGGTTAATTTCTACCCCAGATAAAATACAAAGCAATTCAATGCCAGATTGTCAAATAGAATATTAAGTTTCGGAGACACTCTACTTTACAGAACAACAAGAAACATGAAACAGTGTGAATACTTATGCAAAGATCAATTTTATGATACTCAACCCTGATAACTTGATTTCTGATTTGTGAATTTGATGCATAATTCATGCAAACCAGACAGATTATGAGAGAGCAGTTGAAATAATCAGGTGTTATTAATAATAGGGCTGGGATGGGTACTGAGTAGGGCCCGGGTACCAACAGGACTACCTGCATCCATGACAAGTCATGTGATATATTGTATAATGACAAAATTCACTAAAACTCCACGGTTACCAGTTGGTTACACAACATATCACCAATGTTCGCATTTCTGTCTAACTATGCACACATTCCTTCTCACTTGTATATGCTTGAATAAAGATAAACTTCAGTCAACTTCAGTGTATGCATGACCAGATTGTTTAATATGTGTATTAGGGCTGGGACGGGTCAAAATTTACTACCCGGGTACCCACCACCCTATTACCCGACCCCACCCTGGTACCCTCTGTAGGTATTCAAACTGTCCGATTTGGAAAAGTTTTACCGTAGCCCTGGCAAAATGTACTTAGATAAAACGTGTAAAACGACCCGCTCACGCATACACTGAAGTTTAATGCATGAAGTTTTATCTTTATTCAAACCTATAAAAGTCAGAAGGAATGGGTGCATTGTCAGAAAGAAATGGGAACATTAGTGACTTATAGTGATCATAGAGTTTTAGATAGTATTTGTCATTAAACAATATATATCACGTGACTAATCACGGGTCTGGGTAGTCCTGTGGGTACCCAGGTCCTACTCAGGACCCACCCGACCCGAGTACCCGAGTTACCCGTCCCAGCCCTAATGTGTATCTAAATACCTTTTGCCAAGGCTCTGATAAATTAATTCCCAATCAGACTTTTTAGCACCCAACTCTTGAGACCTACAGCAGGTACCCGGTAGGATCAGGTAATAGGGGGGTCGGTTACCTGGGTCGTAAATTTGGACTTGTCCCAACCCTAATTTATAATATCATTTACTTACAGTTTATTATAGTCTTGTAAAATCAATTATGTATAAAAAGAGCATTTTTTCCTCTATCAGACACTCTGGCGTCTATTAATTTTGTGCAAGTCATTGACTCGACAACTATAAGGATAAGAGGCTGGCGTGTATTCTGCTTATGCTGCCACCATGGCCACAGTGGCATCTCACTACCTTATCGAATCTCAAATTCTAGTCATGTAAAGGGTACATTTGCAGGAAACAGTCATTATTAATCACCAACACATCACAGTCTAAGAGACCCGGTGTCTATAATAGAGGCCCGGCTTCTATTGTTTGGACAGAGTGTATGAGTCAATTAGAGGCCAGCATGTACAGGAGGTACGGCATCTAAAAGAGGAATTAAGGTAATATATGTATGAGTAAGTAACAGTAATATTTATCGAACAAACATGGTGAACACTCTGTAAGTTAAGTGAACATTATCATGCTTTCCAGTGATACTAATATCAAAGAACAGGGAGCTATCTATTGAGCTGATAGTGGAGCCATTCCATAGACATTCAAAAGACATTCATGTTTCAAACATTCCCTTTCAAATGCACCTTTCTACGTAAAAGGGTCTATGAAAGATAAACCTAGAAACATAATCGGGGCGAGCCGGGATTCGAACCTGTGATCATAGGTTTCTGGAGTCCCCAAGGGACGCAACTCTGCACAGCTAATCGCAGCGCCTTAGACGACTGTGCAGCCCGGGTTTTTTGTTGTTGGTTTTTTTTGGGGGGAGGGGGGGAGAGAGAAGGGGATGAGAATGTCTCAAAACTTAAGGAATTAAGTTTTCATCCGACATTGAACCTGTAAACTGGTCTATTATTTCAATTGTTTTCTTATAATATGAACAAATTATGATGTCATCATGTGGAGAAACATACATGCCAAAGTTGAGCTTCCTCAGTTTGGTGACAAATATATGACCAACCATGAGATAAGGGACCTTTGGGTGAAAAATCATATTTTGAGTTTTATTTTATCTTAAAACTACAGTATCCTCAGAACCAAAAAATACAATTCACATTTCACAAGCTTCAATTCATATTTATTACGTGGCATCAAACATTTGGACTCATTTTCCGAGTTATAACTGTTCATGTTGCAGTTTTTAGATATGTCTCATGAACTGAAAGTAGACAAGTGTGCTGAAAGGTTTTGAAATAATGATTTTATTACATCACGAACTAATGAGAGAGAAATAGATATTTTTGCATTGTCCGCACACATGGCGATCTTCAATGAAAAAAGTCTTTACAACGTCACAGCACAATTGTATCCTAGCACCCATAAGATCCCTTTTCTAATGATGGGTCACATATATTTCAAAACAGCCGTGGCAGCCATATTGTAAATCAGATTAAAACCTCTTGAACCAATTCAGGTGTCAACATTGGTGGGAACACACATGTGAAGGCTCAGCTTCATTGGTCAATTTTCTTTCTGTGGAGACTTTGTTTACAGTGCGAGAAAATGCATTTTGAGACTTTAGAAACATGATCAAGGTCAAAATTTAACGTATCGCAAAAAAACGGAACATATATGTTGACCCTCACAATAAACTACACATGGATCAAATTTCATTACATTTTTTAACAATTATGATCAAGCAGGTCATGACATAAGCTCACTTGACTTTCAGTCAGGTCAGCTAATAATGAAGATTTGTAAATCTGAAATATAATTAACAACAAATAACTTTGACCCCGACAACATATAAAATATACCCTAAATTCATAGCACTTTGAGCAATGAAAGAGCATACCATTCAAGATGGGTCTAAGGACATACATAAAAATTAATAAAAGATCTTTATAATGGGAGAAAACTGACGGGCCAAACACAAGATACAATGTCTGTGATGAAAATTAACAATATCAACATCAACATTGTCTGGTTTGATTCATGCCTTCCTTTTGCTGCTATGCTTTAAATGAGGGCCTACTTCCTACAGCAAATACAGGCCACCAGTCAATACCCATGTGAGATCTTTTAAGTCTCACCTGCTTGAGATGCGTCTTAAGGCTACCGCCTTCAGTATCCGGCATTGGAGGAAGCACCTCTGCATTTGTGGGCATGGTAATCTGGAACATTGTTGATATGACAAACTCATTCCATGGGCATATCTTAAAATGAGATTGAGTAGAAATACAATGCTTGCATTTGAAAAAAACAAACATAAAGCAACTGCTTTCAAACAACATTGCTTCTGAAAGGAGTTTGGGAAGAGAGGTTTATTTCAATTTTATACATCCTTTCGTTTCTAGCTCCAATAATATACATATTTTCCTGTGTATATATAAACACTTTGCCCCCGAAATATGCAGTTGTGTAGGCAGGGTGCACATTATACATGCAGAAAATGAGTTCATTTTTTACCTAAAGCATGTTACACAGGAAATAGCAAATCAACAAACCTGGACTGAAGCATGCACAGTTCATCCTGTTATAAGACTATCTGGTTTTAAAACAGTTCCATGTATTTCTAGCTCTTTGTTTTTTCTTCTATTTTATCTATTTTATTGTTTTTATTTAAGATTTCATTAATTTTGGCAAAATCATGTGTGAACTGATCAGCAATTTAAATCAACTAAACATTATTTATTATGATCACATTCAAACTCCCTGTAGGTGATGGAAGATGTTGTGTGCTACTTTCTTGATTTTCTGAATGCAAAGAAGTCTTTACCTTTGACTCTGATCGCTTCTATGAGGGAGCAGATGTATGTGACACATAAACCTCAATAGCCTTTTTCGATTCCATATTTATCTTGGCAGCCTTCTTCCAGGCTTATAAAATACAGTGGAGAGAGGGGCACAAAGCGAACATCTGGAGTCAAGTGACGGGTCAGGTGGTGAGATGAAATGGGGTTTAACATGCATGTGTGCGTTTTCTAAACATGAATACTCTGAACCGTCCAGTCCTTGTTAAAAGCCCTTAAATGCCATGCAGGGTAACAACAAGTATCATCTTTTAATGTCTTTTGGTATGATGCGGCCAGGGATCAAACACCTGAACTTCCACTCTCCGGGTGGACGCTCTACCACAAGACTACGGAGGCTGTGAGTTAAGTGTACAGAGCTCAGCCCTATGCTTTGAGCAGGTAGGGTACAGGTTGCCAGAAGTCATATTTTCCACACTCTATGCAGGTGGATGAAGTTGACGGAGGAGTCACCATCCAACCCACAAACATCACCAGAGATACTTCTGTGACAAGCCCAAACATGATACTTAGTATCTCTGTCTGTCATAGAAAATACACAATAGGCTACATTCTATACATTTGTGCGTAGTGGATGTACATTTCTGCTTCACATTTAATCCTATTTATATGACAAAATGGGCATATCTGATGAAATGCAATGTTTTTATACTTAACGGACGCTACCCTGTGCTTTAACTTCCCTACTTTATACAAACAGACAGTACTGGAACAAAGAGACAGTTGAAACAGACTACAGTCCGTGCCTTGGCATCCACAAGTTATTCCTCTTGGCACCTACTCCCTCATATTCTTCACTGTATAACAGCAGACAGTAACGTAGACAGTGGCGCCAAACGGTAAGGCAGAAGAGGACGCAGTCAAGGTGGGCCTATAGGTGTAGCTCATGTTTTACCTCTCCTGATGCTACACAGTGCTTTATTCGACTGACATGGAGCAGGCATGCTGAAGAAGCACAACAAAACCATCCGGCAAGAAACCCAGCAGGCGACAGCAAGGTAGCAGTTCCCAGTGCGTCAGGCAAGTTGACCAAAGCTACGAGTACCCTCAAAGTCTTCCACAGAAAGGTTGTGAAGATAATGACTGGAAAAGACAGATGTAGAGGACCAGAAGCACCCCTCCATGATGCACTGGTCGGAGATGGATGGTGGGCCAGCAAGGAGACAGGGCACGGATGTCATGTGGATTTGAGACTGCTGGAGGAGGTAAGTCAGCATGACAATGAGCTCTCAGGACAGCAGAATAAAGCCAAAGGGAGACTGTATTCGAGATATCTGGCTGGAAATAGGAATGAACAGCCTCTGGCGCTGCTCACGATGCTGCTGAGACACCCAAATATATCGTCATAGGGCCCGAACAAGGCAGAGGATGAGCTCCACGTCATCATCTACACCAACTATCTCCAAAAGAGACGGGACGTGAAACTGCCGATCAGTTTGGCCAGGCAGTTGATTTTTGGTGACCAAAGACCAGCAAGGACCAAGGTGAACCAGGCCGTGAGGCTGCTGGTCAAACTGAACCCAGGTCATATCCAAGGCATTAAGCTCGCTAACCCTGGCTGCTGTTGCAAGGGCCAGGAAAAAGCAAGTCTTCAAGGTGAGATCTTCAAATGAGGCAGAGGCCAACGGTTCATACGGGGCCAGGGGTAACACATGCAAAACAATATTGAGATCCTAAGCTGCAGGGCATAAATTCTTAGTCTGGTCCTCCAGTTGAAAACCTCAGATCATGGTAAAAAGGGCAGTCGAAGAGGACTGGGGAGCGGTGGCATGCAGAAGGACAAGCAGAAGGCCTGGAACAAACGCTACTTGTCATCATTTCAGGAATGAGTAGAGGAACGATGAGCTCTCCGCAGCACCAGCCAAAAACCTTTTAGTGATCAGGGATTTCTGAAGACATGTCAGACATGCAGACATTGTAACCGTCAGGGTCTGGATGCGGCTGTCTGGTGTGAGGATTGAGCAGCAGATTTGCCCCCTGGGAGACCCAACACAGAAACTAAATCCTGGCCGACCAGTAAGGGGTGACCAAAAGCAGATCCAGAGGACAGGTCTGGCTGCTTTATCATTTTATGAATGACCTGGGGGAGAAGAACATGGGGCAGAAAAGCGTATGCACTTAGGCTGACCCAGGACAGAGCAAGGCCGTCTACCCCCAAGCAGCTGGGTCCGGGACTGGATACACATACACCGGACACTGGTGGTTGCTCACCATGGCGAAGAGATCGACGTTTGAATTCCCAGGCAGGAGCATCCATCCCGTGGGGGACGGATGATCGGGTCAGGACAGGGAGTTGGCTAAGATGCTGTGATAACCTGGAATACGGCAAGCTTGGATCAGGAGCAGGAGACTGTTGGTCAGATGAAACAGGCGAAAAAGGCTGCTCCAGAAGAGAAGCAGACTGTTGATGTACTGGTAGTACACCACCGTGGAGTTGTCCGACACGATCAGGGGACAGCTATGGCAGATGAGCTGACGCCTATGAGGAAAAGCCCAAATGACTGCTTCCAACTCAAGATTGTTGATATGCCACTCGCATTCCACTGGTGTCCGGAAAAGCCGGAAGCGGCTTCCTGGAGAAGGTGGGTGCCCCTTCATTGATACACATGGTGCCCCGCCATGTGTATCCACGCCCCTTCATTGTAGAGATGCGTCAATGAAGAGATGGTGGGTGGTCTTGAAGTTTGTCATAGATGAACCACTCAAGACGTTTGATGGGACTTGCCACCACTCCAGGAATGGGCGTAATTCCCTCAGCAAAGGAAGAAGGGGGGAGAAAAATACTAACGACTTCGATATACAATTGTTGTAATATATAATAAATTACCATATATCGCCGTCTATAATATAAAGCAAACCCGCCTCCCTAAGGCGACCCCCAGTGTAAAAGCCTTGCTAATTTATATACCCCGTCTATATGGGGATTGAATGAAGCACATCACCAGCGCATAAATAATCTCTACATTAAAAACATGTTTGTCTTCCACAGAAACAAAACACTTGTATCCCTTTAGCGAATTCAGGTAAACAAACAGGCGATAACAATTAACCTTTAAAATTTGAGAAAAAACATCACCAGTCATGATGATTTACCAATTTAATTGTATTTCCTATTCTGCTAGGCATTGTTTTATATGCAGAGATTAAGATTACTGTGTGTATCCTCTCAAAAACAATCGTATTCAACATAATAAGCACCTAGGGTGCTCTCAAAATTAGAAATAGGGAGCTCTTATTAGAATATAATTTTGATGAGAAAAAACAGAGTTGAAAAATCGTAAATTTCTAGGTTTATGTACCTGAAATGATACCAAAGAAAAGTCTAGGCGTACAAGACAGATATATTTTTCCGGAATTCAATTGCTCATAATTAAGGGTGCATATAACCCACGAGTGTGTATGGCTCTGGGGTGCTCCAATCCTACTGCATCATACTGCACCTACTGCAATGAGGTGGGAATGAACAAGCAGCCTCCTGGGCCTCGCTGCTTCAATGTAGGCTCTGAGGGTACAGATGGGACATAGCAGAAGCTCATCCTTGTCCCCCATCCCAGCGATGGAATGGAGGGATGGTATGGTAAAGCGTCTATTTGGTTGGCCTGGCTGCTGATTTTTGGAAATAAAATCCAAGCACATACTAAGATGAACAGACCCTCTGGGGCGTTGTTCCCACTGTACTCGAGAGACATCAAGAGCGTGGAGTTCACTGACCCTAGCTGCTGTGGGTGGAGGTAGTAGGAAGATGGACTCCTGAGTCAGGTGTTGAAAGGAGGCCCTGTAGTGGTTCATAGGGACATTGTCTAAGGTGTCTTAGTACGATGTTCAAGTTCATCGTTGGAGGACGGAACTTCAACTTCTGGTCCTCCAACCTGAAACTTCTTATGACAGCCGTCAACTCCAGTATTGTGGACAGCTGCCTGTCTTGGGCAACAGCATAGACAGTGTTGGTCATGATAGCTCATCAACTGGGACATTCCTGCACCCGGAGATGTGTCTCGCTCTGGCCTCTAACGAAATCCCATCTATTAGGTGGTAAAAACACCTAAAAAATCTGGTTCAAGAGGGAGGTCGTGTGGGTCGATCCCTGCTTGTTGATGACTGCTGGATTGTCCATGACGATCATCAACATGGCGTTGGTCAATTGGTGAGCCCAATGTTGTACTGCCAGGATGACAACTTCTAGTTCAGAGTGTTTGTTCTGGAGACCATTACTAAGCCCTGCCACTGTCTGATCTAAGAAGTGGGCTCCCCTACCTTGGAGTGAAGCGTCTGCGAAGAGGTGATGGGACGACTTGAACTCTGTCAAGGAGATGCCTTCAGTGGAGGTATAGATGTAGATGGTCTGGCAACATAACTAGGCTCTGTAATTGCTGGCTCCTTAGCTAAGGTGCCAGAAACAGTGTTGCAGTCTGATGTTGAGCCGTCTCCTGCCTCTGAGGTCTTGTGCGGGTGTGAGTAGGACTAGTAGAATTTGCCACAGGTGGACTGATTGGGGGCCTGCCAGAGCTAGCTGGACAAACCTGACTATCATGTCCCATCGGTCTGGTGGGAGGCACAGAAGGTCTCCTACAAACGTAGGTGTTAATTTCTCGGCGTTGATTAGCATCATTTAATCCCAATGCTGAAGAAGTAGTTGCCTCTTTAGGTGATTCATGAGGCATCCTCATATGATCCAATTAATAAATCTACAATGTGAGGGGAACTGAACATTTTGCAAATGTGACCACCGCTTGGAATATTTTTGCCAATCAAGAACTTGCATATTCTAGGTGACCAGAGTGGTAGTTAATGCAGACACTGTCACATTAATTGACCCATCCATACTTTCAAGACCAAATCGAACAGCTGTGGTCTGAAATTTTTTACTTTGTCCATTAAGGACAGAGACATTTTGCACTCTACCTTGTAACTCCATTTGTGAACTTGCATTTTCTAACAATGCATTTACAATTCTGTTATGGCCATTTTTGGTGAAAAAGTGAAAGGAGAGTAGACATATCAGATTTTGTCAACGACCTTTTAAACTTGACCTTCATGATTTGTACTCGTCACAAATTGCTGTGCAGGTTGAGTATTGTCACTGTTACCATTAGCTCCTGCTGCTTCTCTTTGAATGAGGTAACTGATTATGCAAAGCAGGACGGTTATCAGTACCACACCTAGTGTTGAGTCTACAGGTTTTGCCAATGTGACTGAAACAAAAACAACGGAAACAAAGGTTTAACTGCTTGACAGTTTCCCATCTCTTTGGAACTGTCATTGATTTGAATTTCATACATGTCACAATGTCATGGTTGTCCATGTGACTCTCATGGATTCTCTCATTTTCTTCAGCAGCTGAACATACAAAGACCCTTTACTTAACTCTTCTAACCTAACAGATTCCCTTAGATTTACAACCACTACATCCAACATATCAGCAAAGCATTCAAAGTCCTTTGCATCGCACTGGCTTGAAAGATGATATTTCTTCCAATTGGAGAGCAATATGACATCTCATTCCACCAAATATATGTTCCAATCTCTCAAGAGCTACACCACAGGCTGCAGCAGTGTGACTTAAGTCCTGAATGACCTTCATTGCATCACCACTAACATACTGGCACAACTGAAGTAGCTTCTATTCTGGTGTGGCAGGTGCTTGGTCTATACAAGCAATAAATGCAGCCTTCCAGGCTTCATGTGACTTGGCATCTCCAGTCAAAACAGGTATAGACTCACGCTTCAACTGCTTCCACATGTCTTTACCATTATCACAACTATGTGAAAGTGTAGGTGCCCTACGACTGTAACAACTATCTGAATGCTGCATCACTATGTGAACTGGTTCATGATGAGGTTCTACTTGACTACCTGACTCACTACCAACTGATTTTGTACGAAAAGAAGCATTGTTTACAAGAACAGTTTTCACATCTAACTTCTTTTCATAATTGAACAATTGTGATAGACAATATTTGGAAGTAGCATCTGACCTATTTCTGACATAGTCCTGTGCATCGTCTTGAGCTTTAGTAACTACCTCTTCTAATAATTCACCTTCCTTTGTGACCTTGACCATATTGTGTTTATCACCAACAGCTTCAAACATTTCTGACAGGTTCACAGTTACTTCCAAAGCCTTAAGCTGGCAATTGCTTAATTTGTATATAGCTTCCCGAACTTAAAATTTGTGGTGGAATATCTTCTTGATCAACTAGCTTCTCAAAAAGCATGTTTTCATTTAGTGAAAGCTGATTTAACTATCATTTTTTGCCACTTAAGAGAGTTTATTGTAGCTTCATAAACACCATCAGACCCACGCAGAGGTATGTCTGCAAATGTATCAAGTCTAAGTTCAGTTCTGTCCATTTTCCCCTTTAGGGGAGATGTTACACTCATGTGGTACATGTTTGTAATCTAACACATGTGATCAAATTTTCTCATCAAAATTCAACATAATGTCAAACTCTACATGAACACGGGTAAACAACCGGTGTATAACTACCATAGCAACATTTGTTGGATAAACACAAAAATTCCCACTTGTGCTTTATCATCCAACCTATTTCCAATTGACTATATCAGCGTTGGCTGAAGAGCGTGTATTTGCGTTTTGGACACACAAATATGAGTTTTAACATATCTGCATAACATGTGTGGGTCTCGTGGATGCAGTGATTGCACCATTATTAATTTCAGAATTTCACATCAAATGGCCACTGTTGTTGTAAATCAAAGCTGTACGTCTTTGCGTAAAGGTATTTATTTCCAAACAAGACAGCGAAGCATGTTGATTAACACTTCCGTTTGCTAAACCAAACCAGTTTCAATATTCTCTCCCTTCTTATGACAAATACCCAAACTGGCTTCTTGACCTTTATCAATTTTCGGTCTTGCATGTATTCATGTCTGCTATGGTCCGTAGGTTTGCTTCAGCCAATCAGATGCCGCATATTTTGCTGCTCGGATACATTCATAATTCTTTTAGCTTGATGATTGGTCGAAAACATCACGACCTCGTGTGAAACTAAAAATTGTATAAGGGTATACTTCAGAACGTGGTAACAGTGATCCGCAAGATGAAGTGACCATGCAGGGTGGTAAGCCATATTATCACGGTAGTTAATTTATAATGGATCGTAATGGCGCACGCTTACAAACTTATTAAATATGGCATACGCAAAATGTTTGTTGTTCTTTGTTCAACTTTTATGACACATAAATTAGGATTGACAGCTGCTGATTTTCTTTACCGAGTTCGGTACACAAAGTAGTCATTAGCAAATCTTACGGCAGTAAGGCTGTGTTGATTATATGGTTTACATCACTTCCTGTTTTGTATTTTGCATAATCAGTATGTATACAACCGAAGTTGGGTCAAGGGACTTCGTCTGAACAAATGGATTCTTTTCTAATCAATTTCGAATTGAGGTAAACCAGAAACCATCATAAAAAAGTTAACGTGTGTATACGTGCAAGTAACCATGACATAGCGCAACGAGTCCTGTATTCGATCATGCGATGAAATATATCGTGCTTAGATTTGCATTTAATGAGGGATAAGTTAAAAATAAGTTGAAAAGTATCCATCCAGTAGTTTTCAAGGTACAGGTCATACAAATGTTTAAGTAAACAACTTCTAAGTTAAAAAAGAAAGAAAAATACTTGGGGTTTTTTTTCCTAAAAAAATACAAATACAAAAGAATCAATGCAGTAGCTTTCAAGTTAAAGGTCGCACACACAAAAATGTCCTCAGAAGGACTGACAGAATTCCTTGGTATAATCATATACCCACACCTTTAATGGTTGGGGGTATGAAAATAATTCTTCATGCTGAATACATCAAACACCAAGCTGCCCTTCCAAATGTTAATGTCATCACAACGCAAGCATCTATACCTCCTCCACAAAATTTAATCCAATCAGTCTGCAATTTAACTAAGTCATCTGATCATAAGGAGGAGGAAATTGCCTACGTACAGCACATGGAGTTGAAGTTAATGTGCAGTGAAGGAGGTACTGAACCGTTTACCTTGTTGGAGTCCAGGTCTATGAGCCAGACATCATCAGGCACCTTGAAGTCCTTCTTGTAGAGGAAGAAGCTGGCAGGAACACCAATCAGGTAGGGGGTTGGGGCCAGCAGCAACTACAACAATCCACAGATGTCAGTACACTGCTAAATAGCACGGATATTTTTGTGTGCGTGCCTGTGTGAGTGCAGGGACTTTTCTAAGACTTGCAACTTAGTGTCTATGGCAGGTAAATTGGGAGAGAGAAAACATTTTGTCCTAGATTGGGAATTTTGTAAAGTACAAGTAGTTTTCTTTTACATAAGCCATGCCTTCCAGCAATGCAAGCCTTCAAGCTCTTTTCTCCTTATTGGTCCTGTTTCACAAACTTAAGTCAGCAGCAAAATTCAAAACTAAGAAAGAGTCATCATGAGATGACCCCTGTTCTGGTGCAATTCAGAAATGGAGTTTGGCTACTCATACCCCACTTTTGGTTCATTGCCATTGGATACCTTTAGTGAAGAAAAAAATAATACTGTTCAGTATCAAAAGGCACCAGTTCACCCATTCCTATATGTTCTTCATACTTGGGAATAATACCTACAAGCAATGGTTCACACATAACATACCTAGTTATCATGGCACCCTTAAATTCTTGTAAGTCTTGACATCCAGTTTCGTTTGTTTGGAAATGCTTGGAAATGCCTTACTTGGTAAATTAACATGTATCTAAATGTTGTCAATGTTACTGTTAGCATGTCAGAACAGGTCAGTTGGGCAATGAGAGCATAAATATACATCTATACCCAAAACATAAGTACATGCTTTGTTGTGAATAAACTGCCCACCTGTTCTGCTGATGCCATACATGTAGGTAGTAGTGGGATGACTGGGAACATGTACTCCAAGGGATACAGCATGGACACAAATGCCATCACACTCATTGATAAGGCATTGTAGTCCCGGGATTGCAGCACCACCTGAAACATACACCAGTCATTTCTCGTTCAAATTACACCAAAGGAAGAAAAGCTAAGATGTCAGTCATAGAAAAAATAGAAAGGTGCATCACATATGCCAAAACAGAAGAAACTACATCCTTTTCCTGGAAGCCCCCAAACTTTCCAATCAGAAACATATATCCTGAACCATCATAACTTGACTCACACGTCCAAAGCAGTGCAACTTTCAGAGAGAAAGGAAAACACAATAAGGCACAAATGTGAAACAGAAACACCTCTGCCTTTAGCTACCAAACAACAGAAGTGGTCTGTATTGAGCAGTTCCAGTTTAATAGCATCACTTATGGTTTGGGAAAACACATAATGCCAAGGGCAAACAACTTTGAAAAAAAGTCTCATGCCTCTGCTCCAGCTAAACTAATAAAGTCAAAAGCACTTTTTGAAACACTGAATTCAGTCCAGCTTCCAACACTTCTCCAGATTCAAGAACAGAGGTCAGGCCACTTTTAAGACATTTGACAGTCAACAACGTTAGAAATTGGCACTAGTCCTTTAGTCCTTGCCAAACTGCACAATAGTTAAGGTATCATAAGGACGAGTAGAAATTTGCTATTTTTAAGGGTTTTGCTTTATGTTATCATTATAAGGACTAGTGGACTAAATATGTGAGTTTCTACCCCTGGTCAAGTCAAGTTCTGGACATTCATGAGTACACAGACATACATTGTAGGGCTTGTTACTTACTACTGCTGACCTATTGTATTGCCTTTTGTGATTGTAAACCTAAAGCTGTTTCAAACTAACTTATTGATCTTGTGTGGTCATTTACTGTTTCATGATTTAGATCTGTACAAACTGATTTCTGTGTAAACCTTTGCATTTCAATTTGGCAATACCAATGCAGTACAGCTTTAAACAGGAAAGCCTATACATCAAGCTACCTTAATAACAAAGTTATTGTAACGTTTACATTAATGTGTACATATGTAGATACTCATCTCACACTATGCATTTCTTCATCTTCTTTCGATCCTTTAATGAAGTGAAGTGATGTTATTAGACCTGTAGGTCTTAATTTTTAAACTTATCCTATCTCACAATATGCATTTCTTCCTTCTTCTTTTGATCCTATGTGGAAACGTGCTTGAACAATGTTTCCAGCTTCTAAATAGAAATTACCCGAACACATCCCAGCATCACCATGGACACCACCCAAACAAATGGGCCACCCACTGTAACCCCATGCATGGCAACTTACACTTTCTTAGAGCTAAAAGGCTGGAGGAGCTGTAATGTGGGGATGGTCGGAAGGGCAAATTATCATGTGAGATAGGATAAGTATATAAAGAGACAATTTAATGCAAAATTTACTAATCACTCTATGCATTTATCCAACGGCTGGATGGTGGGGTGCAGAAACCCATGCCTGTAGTAGACAACAACCATGAGACATACACGAGGAAGCTGGTGCTAAACAGTGAAACAAATAAATAATCAATAGCACTGTCACATGCCGTAAAGACAAGAACTCATGAACAGGGAAACAAACCATCCCTATATGTTAGTCGGACATAAAAGCATGAAATTGGGTATAACAAGCGTTACGTGTTTTCACACATGACATCGTTACAAGAAGGACTGCGTCCGGAGGAAAACTTGGATTCTCGCTGTGGACAGCCACGAAAACAACTCGACTTCACACTCTGGACTTCATGCGTAGGGTTTGAACTGTGGACGTTGTCGTTCTCTCTTCTGCTGCTCTTCCAGATGCTGTCTCTGCAGACATACACCTGGAGATGGGTGTCACATGTAACGTCCTGCACAAGCCCTTGAATTTGGAAGAGAGACAGAGCTGACCAAGGGAGCTGGTACAGGTGCGCCTCTAAGGGATCGTCCCAATGACATTGTTGAAGGACGCCTCTACATCAAAGGGCTGATCCGGCATGGTGTGAGATGAGGTCCAAGATGGTCGTGATCTTATCCTGATCAGATTCTCTAATAACAGTCTTTTCAGGAGACTCAGCATTGGACATTGAAGTAGTAATGGCCTCAGTCACTGAGAGGACAGTGGAAATCAAAGGGAGCGTCCGCTGAACAGTGGTGTCCAGATGAGCCAGATTGCAGTCTTCCACAGTAAAGGAAGTCATTGAATTTTGGGACAAAGGATCACCAATTCATGATCAAGGTTGGGAGAACTAGCAATCTTTGATAATCCATGAGTAGTATACACAAAGTTTTGAGGCACTGCATGCTGGTAGTAATAGCTTATTTTGCTACAGCATGTGGTGCCTCAAAGCGATTCCAGGGCCAGGGCCTGGACCTGGTCCAGGGTGGGGTGACGCTGTTCATATATATTTATACTACTTTTGTGTACTCATCTTCCCTCAAACATTTAATGAAAAGTCCATACAATGTTGGAGGGTATCCAGCCATGTTCATGTATTCTCTGAACTCTCAGTGCATACCTTCACAGTGGGGCAATGAGAAAGAGAATGCTGTGGCAGGAATATTCACTTGATCAGGTCGTCTAAGTTGTTATGCACGGGATTACAGTGCATAGCCCATTTGTTTGGGTGGTGACCATGCTGGGATGTGTTCGAGTGATTTCTTTTTAGAAGCTGGAAACTTTTCCACATAGGATCGAAAGAAGAAGGAAGAAATGCATATTGTGAGATAGGATAAGTTTGAAAATTAAGCCCTACAGTTCTAATAACATCACTTCTGGTTTGGGAAAAAAACCTCTAATGCAGTTCAATTTTGAAACAGAAATGTTTAAGCCTCTAGCTACATAAAGAACAAAGTAAAATACACTTACAGTGTATCACCATCACTTAAGGTTTGGTAAAACATGTGATTCTCACTGCAAAACAACTTGGCAAAAATAAATCTTATGCCTCTACTCTAGCTACCTTAATCATCAAATTCCAATTATAAATGCTGAAAATTTTGTGTACAAAAGCTGTTGTGGGACATCTAATTCGCACCAAATAACCTTGATCAGAACCCTCCTCAGATATTATTATTATCTATACTAAGTTTCATCAAATTCCATGGATAAATACTCAATTCATCTTTGCTCAGCTGTTTGCACTGAGTAACTTTGACCATCAATGGGATCCAATCTTATTTATATAGGGGAATTTAGGAGGTATATCCGGTTTGAAGTTTCTAATATGTGTCATGAGCAAGGTTGAGAAAACCAACTGGGGCTCCAGCAGATCTGAATTTGAACAAACACATTAAGTCATGTGTTTCAAACCTGATATCCTTCTGAATTGGTTCAACAGTAGCACTGAAAGCTTTAACTGTGAATGGGTATGTGCCTCACTTCTGATCACCTCATTTCTAACCAATTTACTCAGTTATACTGAATTACATTTGCCCTCAAATGTATTTCTACCATTTGATTTTGACAAGTAATTAAAATTATTTAAATTTCATCAGCTATTGGAAAAGTTAGCATTCAGTATGTTCAGAAACCAACACCAAGACATTTTACCTTTTATCTATTGAACGTTACCTTAATTCACATTTTTAAAAGTCAAATTATAGAGGATACTACACTTACTGTGGTTAGATACCATTTTTACGAAACAATGGAATTTCTATGGTATCTGACCGAGCGAAAGCGAGGTCAAATACTATATAGAAAGTTCACGTGTTACCCACTTAAATCATTTAGTGTAAATAACAACTTTTATTCATTCACAGACCAAACTGAAACCGGTCGCAAAATCTGGTTGCCCATGAATATTGATGCAAACATAACAGCACTGACACTTAAGATCCTTTTGGAAGAATTTCCTTAACTTCTGGTACCATACAAATGCAATGTTGTTAGTACGCAGGACACCTATAAGAAAATTTGAAAAGTTACATTAGTGCTGCACTTTGAATATGGGACCAACAGTCGGTCACAGTCGGTCATCAGCTGAATATATATTATGTCCTTACCATTTTGGAAGATGGAAATCAGAGTGTTAATCATGTTAACTTTACCACTCTATACTGAAGACGTGAAAATCAACAAACTCAGAGTCTGCTTGCATGTCAGAGACAGCAAGGTCACCACCAGAATAAGAAAAGACAACGGTGATATACTCACAGCGTTCTATGCTAGAGATAGGGAAATGTTATTGCTCATATTTGGGATGTTTGGGGCCACATAATCAAAAGTCAGGCACACTTCTACTTAATTTTCGAATGATTGTATCAGAAATGTTCACTTTTAGTGCTCTGGTCATGCAGTCGTGAACAAACAACAACCGAAACAGTGCCACAAAATACGCTTCGAAGGGGACACTGATAACACAACCGGAGCATCCCAAGTAAGTCTAGATATCTGTCCAGATAGTTTTAACCTTTAGCCTGCTGAATTATTTTCACACTTCTTACCCCTGCCTGCACCATTAATTTTAGCATAAGGCGCTCTAAAGAGGGTGGGTGATTTCAAGCAGTCGGTGCCTCATTAAATGAGGGCCAATTGAAGAAATATGTTGCACATTTATTCATGAATAATTAAAATTTTTGTTGTGTTCATTGAAATTCCAGCATTCTGATTAGCTGCATTTGTCAGGTGTTATTGCATTCATTTCCCAATGAATGTCAAATAATAAGCCACGCCCACCAATGCACACTACTTTTATTACTGCGGAATGTCGGGGAATCCCAATATTACAGTCGAGGGAATTCCCTTTCTGCTCATGTGTATCGTCATGCACGGGACATTTAGCGACTTTATGCATATTCAATAATTCATTGTCCAAACTACCCTTTGAAACCGAAGGCCGAGAATGAATGAAACAGCAAATGTGCAGGCTCGCTCGCTTGTTTTTTTCCCCGCTGGCCTTGGTTCAACTTTCATGTCTTCGGGTTTCATTTCTAACTAGCATTTCTGTTTTACCATAATCAGGGAAGTAATGTTTGAATCTCGCGGTAACTGACCATGTTATTTGAAACAGCCGCCTTTCTTCCGGTTCGTTACAGTCTGACTGTTGCAGTTCTTTTTGCCTCTTGCC